CCTGATAAACTTATCTGGGGTCAAAGACAGAACAGCCACAATATTAAACATGAGGATAGGCAGTGGTAGCACACGCCTTTAATCCTAGCATTCCAGAGGCAGAGATCCATGTGTTCAAGGATACAGCCAAGCATAGTGACTCACGCCTTTAATCCCAGGGAGTGGTAGTAGAAAGCAGAAAGGTATATAAGGCGTGAAGACCAGAAACTAGAAGCATTTGGCTGGTTAAGCATTTAGCTGGTTAAGCTTCAGGCTTTTGAGCAGCAGTTCAACTGAGAGCAATTGGGATGAGGAGGACACAGAAGCTTCCAGTCTGAGGAAACAAGACCAGCTGAGGATCTAGCGAGGTGAGGTAGCTGTGGCTTGTTCTGGTTCTCTGATCTTCCAGTTCACCCCAATACCTGCCTCAGGTTTGATTTTATTAATAAGAACTTTTAAGATTCATGCTACATTAATGTTTTAGTTTGGCTTGAGATAGAGTTCCATGGATCTCAGGCTGCCTTTGAACTTGCTACATGGCCAAGTACGACCTTGAACTCCTGATCTTCCTGTCTCCACCTCCTAAGAGCTGGGATTACAGGTGTGCACCACCATGACTTTTGCCTTTGCCTTTTGAAAGAAAAATTTAAACCACTCAGAGTTAAAATGAAGGAGTATGTAGTGGTGACCACTAGGGATGGTATTTGGGTCAGGGTAGACAACCTTAGCACTTCTGGCCATAGGCTATTCCAGCCAGCAGCTCCTTGTAGGCTCTGTGGTCTCACATTCCACCTGGTGACTCATTTCCATCTCAAATTTGTCCACTATCTGCATTACAACCTTGGATTATGAGTGAGGATGGCATGGCCCAGGGTCTTAATGTGCTGTCCTCAAGCCTGGGCTATCAATTTCCCACCTTTACCTGCCTTCTGATGTCCTTTGTTTCTGATATTCCATAGAGTATGGCAGTAATGGGAAAACACTCACAGAGACGCCTGTGCAGAGCTGAAAACTCTTTCATAAATCATTTAAAAATCCATGGTGTACCAACAGCAATTATCAGAATTAATTGCTCCTTAAAACATAAAGAATTGTGCTACAAAGAGTCAACATCAGCTTGGGACTGTATGTCTCCTCCTCAAGCCTTGGAAAGGAGCTTGCAAAGCAGGTACCAGGATAGAGCAAACACTGGAGAATTGTGTGTTAGGTACTGTGTCCTATTTCCAAACTAATAAATACTGAATGAGTAAATAATTTTGTTTTCTCTCTGGGTTATAAAGATTCAGTCGTATTTGGCCAAGTAACTTCAGGGAATATCATTAAATACTTTTCAAACAGTGCTTCTTGGAGCCATATTCTGCTGTTGGACAATGTCTACAGATGTGATGAGAAAGGAGACAGAAGGAAGTCTAGGTAGGGAGTGGGCATGATTCTCCATAAATGGCTCCTCAAAACTGGGCACAGAAACCAGTGCTGGGAAGCACACAGGCATTGGCATCACTCGCTTATTCTCCCACTTACCTACCAATACCGAGAGCATCTGGGAAGTCAATGTAAAATGAAACATTACATTACTGGTGTTAATATCTGACCCACACAAAGCTAAATATTTTATTTTCATTTTATTTTTAGTTACATGTATATGTGTTTCTCTCTGTCTCTGTCTCTGTCTGTCTCTGCCTGCCTCTCTCTCTCTCTCTCTCTCTCTCTCTCTCTCTCTCTCTCTCTCTCTCTCTCTCTCTCTCTGCATGCAGGTGCTCTCAGGGTCCAGAAGAAGGAATTAGATCCTCTGAAGCTGGAGTTACATGAGTTTGTTAGCTGCCTGACATGGGTGCTGGGAACCAAACTCAGTTTCTTAGCAAGAGAAGTATTTGATTTTAACTACTGAGCTATTTCTCCAGCTCCTACACAAATCTATTATTTAAACAATAAGTAAAAAACCAGGTATAAATATCTGACTTCTGAATATTTAAGAATAGAAGGCTAGCCAAGTGTGGTGGTGCATGTTCTTAATCCCAGTATCCGGTAGGCAGAGGCAGGTAGATCTCTGTGAGTTTGAAACCAGCCTGGTCACATAGTTCCAGGCTGGTTAGAGTGGGCTACATAGTCAAAATTAAAAAAAAAAAAAGAGAAAAGAAAGTAGAAAAGAAGACTAAGATTTTATCTGCATATTTATGTGCATATCATGTTTGTGATATGGGCATGTGAATGATATACATAAAAATTTTGTGTGTTGCATATGAGTGGATGTTAATACCAAAGGAATTACCATGGATACCATTTGTTAGCCAGAAAGCATCATATATTATTGTTTCAAGATTTTTCTCTACAGAGGCATTCAGCAATGGCTGTTTTCATCAGAGATTTATTTGATCTTTATTATTTTACCCAGTACTCCTGAAGGACCTGACTACAGCTTTGATTTGCACATACAGTATTCAGAGACCTGACACCAGCTCCAATGCTCAGAAGGGAGAAGGATCTTTGTTCAGGAAGTAACTTATTGAACAATTAACATGTGGAAACTATACCAAACAGTATGTGTAAATGATAAGTTCACGTTGAGTCTGCAAAGGGCGGAGGCTCATTCTTCCTGCAAGGAGACCGTGACAACTCTTGCTGATGGAATAAATGGGATCATTATATTTCAGCCTCCAAGTAATTATCAGAAATGAAGCTTTGTGAATTCTTTCCTAATGGGGCCACCTGTCACCCCTCAGTCTTTGTGTATAATGGCATTTCATTTCTGAAAACTAGGGCCGCAGTACAGCTCTTCCAAATGTTAGTGGCCATGTCCTGATTCCCTCCCTTGTCTTCCTGTGATAAATAGAAACATTTTCAGGTGGTTTTCTATCCTCCACCCAACATATGATTGTGTGTGTCCAAAGTACCTGTGGCAGGTAAAGAAAGCTGCAGCAAAACCAGGTGTTTCAGCATAATTGCTCGCTTATAGGCAATCCTGATGCTGAGACAACCCTGTGAGGATGTGGGCGGGGGGGGACTGTAATTTCTCACCATGATCTCCCCTGGCTATGGCCAGATGCCAACTGCTCTGGGCTTGTGTCACTTTATCAGAGGGAGTGCTCCAGGACAGGAGGGCAGCTCAGTGTGGGCTGTAGCCATGGAATCAGAGCTTCCAGAATTTACTCAAGGCCTAAGCCACGACACCAGCTACAGGGATGCAGCAGGCAGGCTGCATGAGTTAAGACTTCTCAGGCTGATGGTGAAAGCAACTTGGTCATGAGGTTTCCCATGTGACTCTCAGGTTCTCAGTTATATGCCTGTTTCCTGGGTCTCTGTAGGTTATTCAAGATTCTTCTACACCAAGGTCATGGCTCTAATGCCACTGTGGTTTGTTTGATCTTTGAGATAAGAAGAGTTGTAAACCTTCTTGTATTTTATGTTAATTCTGTTTGGTCTTGTGGTGCTTTCATTTTCACTTCCTTAGGGACCTGGCATGAGCTTTTGAGGATCCAGAGGAAGAAGGATCTTTGTTCAGGTTTCCTACCTGGCAATTGGCATGTGTCATTCACACAGGAACAGTAGGTGAGGGGAATGAATTCGTGTGGTGTTCCCAAATGGTGGAGACCTCCTGGCCTTTTCTCTGGACACTGTTGTATGGTTCTTTCAATGACCCCTAAGTAGCAGAAATTCTTTGGTAGCCTTAGATCCCCCCTCCTCCAGTGGCTACAGTCTGACAACAGTTGTTGATCTGTTAAAAACACTTGCCTGGTTTACACACAAAGGTCTGTGGATGAATTCACAGGCCTACAAGGAAGTCACCTGTTCTACAACATGGGGGAAACTGTGAACATCTCTCATTTGATGATTATGAAAGTGGTTTTCAGGGGTTGGGAGTGAGGGTGGGGAAATTACATTTGAGCCTAAGTTCTAGTCTGTGCAATCACAAATGCCTGGTCCATGGGAACACTTGCCCTACCTAGGGAATTACAGTGCTGTAGGTCTGTGTGGATCGGGACTGCAACATCTCTGGGAAATATCATTTCACACTAATTAGGACTTCTCACAGCCTGCTTCCTGAAAGGTTCAGGTTTACATTAGTGATGCAGATTTTAATCAGCAATCAAGTGCTCTCTCCAAACGCAGCAAGAATCCCCCATATTCCCTTCTATCAACAAAAGATTTCCCAGCTGCAAGCTGGACCCAGCAATGGTGAGTGCCAAATCAGCATCTTAACCCAAAATGATGTCTTCAATCCTCCAATCTTCTGAAACATCCTAAATTCCCATTCCTGTCCTCTAGTTAGACAGAGTTTTGCATTGTGTGATTCTGACCACAGCCCTCAGTTTGACACCTGTTGAAAAAATATTGGAACCATATTTGTAACTAATCACAACCAAGATGTCAATTTAATTAATCTGACAATAGAAATGCCCCAGAGATGAGGCCCATGCCCAGGCTGGCACTCCCAGTCAAGCCTGGGCTTGCTGTCTGTTACCCGACAAGCCTAGGACAAAATTAACACTAAATATAAGGTAATTTAATTAACTCCTCCCATCCCAGCAGGCAGAGCACAGTGCTCTGGGCACCCCAGGCCTTCTGAAGTAGAGGGTGGCACCCCCAGCGGGGAAACACTTAGGCTAAGCTTTCATTATTTTAAGTGGGTGATTTGCAGCTAAGGAGATGCATTGAAACTCCTTAGGCCACTAAAGTAACGGATAGCACAGTTGTTCTTACCTTACAGACACAGCAACAAACTTTGTGAAATTCATCATATGAATACATATCTTGCAAGTGTCAGGGTCCCTCAAGGATTTGCCATGGAATATGTGGACTCTCAGACAGAGAGCATGGAGGAGGGGTATAGAGAGAAAGGCTGAGACAGAGAGGACAACCTGGTTTTAAAAAAAAAGTTAATCTGAAAGCCACCCCACCAGAGGGAAAAGGCTATGACAAATATGAGAAAAATACTTATGAAATTGTTTTATCTTAAAGATATTTGCTCAGCTGATTGGATCCATCTATCCATCCATCCATCCATCCATCCATCCATCCATCCATCCATCCATATATCCAGGTGATTGAAAACGTTGAGTATTCCAGGCAAGTACTTTACCAGGAATGTACACCTCCAGCCCATTTTTATTTTATTAGGGAACATCTTACTAAGTTGCGCAGGCTGTACTTGAACAGGTGACTCACAAATCAGTGTCTCAAGTAGCTGGAATTACAGGCCTGTACCACCATGACAGGCTAAGAGCTAATATTTTTAAGGGACATATTAAAATCCTTTTTTATTTACAAACTTCAACAATGTTGACTCCCAAATTCCTTCATCCCCAGGATGAATATCAACCCATTTTCCCAGTGTCCAAGCAGAAGCCAAAGGACAATGGACATCAAGAACCAGGTTGATCTGTCATGAATGTAAAGAGAAAGCAGGTGAGTGGAAAAGTCAATGTTGGTGTTGCAGTGGTGAGCAAGTGGAACACTGAACTCACACAGATGCCCATGGAGGTTCTGAGGAGAAAGAACCTTTCAGGTGGAGGGACTTGCTGAAAGTCAGGTCCCTGTTCTCACTTGAGTCTCGGTGACAATCCACATGATCGAGGACGAAGACTAGCTGGGGCTCTGCATGTGTGGTGTGGGGTCCAGACTTTCTCCCTGTGAAGCCAATTAGGTTAGACTTCAAAACAATAAGGAGGTAGCAGCACATTTCAAATGTGAATGAAATAAGGTACTTGGGTCAGAAAATACCAGATCAAAAAATAAAGCCTGAAGAACCTCATTAAAAGGCAGATCAACAGGATGGACCCAAATCATTAATTATGTTAATTTGCAACAAGGAAATGAAAATCTTGGGAGAAGCTGGAGGGGGTAGAAGCCCAGCTCTGGGTTCTTCAAGGGTTGGGGAGCTTGTGTGTTAGCTGCGTTTTCTTTCATGAGAGAGTTGGAATGTAGGATGGAAGGTCACCATGGGGCCATTGCTTGGTGCTTGAGCGCTGGAGATACCACCAGCAAGTACTTCTGAGCAAAGTGCCTAATGGCTTGTGTGGCTTGGCTAAGGCTGTGCTGAGAGCTACTGCCTCCGACAGCATCTTTGGAGCTCCAGGATCTGTCAGTCACAGACAAGGCGCTCCAGCTTGCTGGAGGCTGGATGGATAGATGCACTTAAACAGAGATGTGATTTAACAAAGAGCAGCTGCTGTGAGGCAGTGCACACGCAGGAGGCCAATCTTGGCCTTTCTCCTCCATGTTTCCTGCCAGAGCTGCTGTGGAGCAGCCATCTCACCGACAAGGTCTTGGTCAGAGGTGGAATTCAGGATATATTCTGAGATGTGGTCACTTTTTTGTCGTTGTTGCTGTTCTATTTGGCTTTTGAGGCAAACCAGGCTAGCTTTGAACTCATGATTTTCCTGCTTCTGTCTTCTGAGAGCAGAATTGCAGGTATGTGGCTTGCTGTCTGGCTTTGGTTGTTTTGCTTCCCAGTGACAGTCCCTTTTGTCTTTGCTGGCTTTTGGTTCATAACCCTGTGAATGAACAGAGTTCTGGAAGCCTCTGGGAAGGAAAGGAGGACCCCAAACAGGGAGGCCTGGAGATGCTCACCATCTATTCCTCCGGGTACCTACAGATAATGAGAGGAGACAAGGTCCTGGGGCATCCAGGGTCTGTTTGAGGACACTGCTTCTAGAGGTGCCTGAGGCAAAGGCCATTTAAAATGCAGGAGGAAGGGGGAGAAGTGGCAGAGTATGGCATAGGACACCCCAAATGGAGCATTGCACCACTTAGGTCAACTGCACCACTTAGGGAGCCTTGATCCTGGCAGGAGCAGCCCCAGACGTTGAAGAGGGACAGGAAGCCAGAGAGGTACCTGCTCTTTCAAAGGGAAAGTATAATTTGTAAACAGTCAACATCTTAACAAGCTGTAAAACAACAGCCATGACTTCTAGCAGATTTACGAATATCTGAGTAACTGAAACTCACAATGTTTTTTTCTAAACTCACTTTGTTAATTTGCAGCCTGGTAGTGATTAGGGCGACGAGTCCCCAGGGATGGCCTCCAGCTTGGCTTCCAATTGCAGGGCTGGGGTCTGAGTGTTTTTCTGGCACAGGTGGATGTGGATTCCAGGCAGTTCAATCATGTCCTCTTTTCTTTCTCACCATCTTGCCGGCTGGCCTTGGAACTCACAGGCTAGGATTTGTTTGTTTTGTCTTAGAATTCTAGTGTTTCAGAAATCGCCCATCATTTATCACTCATCTGAGCAATTGTGGGTCATGCTGGCTGGATGCTTTTACCTCCCAGCTCCTCCTCTCTCCCCCTCCTGCCACCTTCCTCCCTCAGGGGAAATCAAGAAAAACAAGATTCTACTTGTCCAAGCCCTTGGAGACTCCTCGGAATTGCTGGAATCGTCACAATAAGTGGTAGTAATAGAACCATATACAGGATTGTAAATACAAACTGTTCTGTGGAGTGGCAAAAAATAATGAAGTAATTAGGTGAACTATCATCAGCACCTGTGACTGACTGGCAGGGCACTTCTGCCTGGTTGCTATTGTTTACCAGGAACCATACACCGGCAGGTCCGGGAGTTGTGGCACTTCTCACCCTGACCCCCTTCTCTCTCCTCACTAGAGCCTCTCTGGTCCACCAAAGTGGGTCCATGCCTGGGTGATCTGAGTGGCCCAGGATGAGGATGTGGGTGCCAGGGCTGAGCCTTTGGAAACCACGGTGGAAAACAAGAGTCCTGTTCACCAGTCCATTAGGGTTAATGCCTCTTTAATTAGCAATTGCCGGGAAGTCTGAAAGTGCTATATAATGGGCCATTTCTTGCTAAACCCGAGTCTCGCAGACAGACCCAAAGCACAAGACCATTCCAGTGGGAGACAGTTGAGAGAATGGAGATTAGAAAACAACTCATTGTTGGTTCTGAAGGAAAGTGACCATCGGAATGCTCACCTGCTTTCTGGTACCCACCCCCATCTGGGATTTCTGTACAGAAGTTCCCAATTACAGGAGAAATGCTTTTTAACACATAATGTTCTTCACAACATTGCCAAGAGGAGATTCTTCTACCAACCCACTTCACAGATGTAGAAATGGAGGCACAGAGAAGTTAAGTGACCCAGCCAAGGCCACAGAGCCGGGTTCCCAAGTTAGTACCAAACACATACACACACACACACACACACACACACACACACACACACACACACACATTGAACCTATTACTGTTCCTGTCTAGTGAGCTCCATACAAAGCTGTGGCCTAAGGGATCTTCATCGTGTATCTGATGCAGATACATCAAAGACTGTGCTAAGAACCTAGGAAGAAAATGAGTTCTCACAGACTTGCCAAGGACTTGGGAGAAGCCATCATTTTCCACTGGCAGAGAAAATGTAGACATAGGTATGGCCCTCACAGACACAGACCTGCAGGTCAGAACTCTTGTTACTCAAAAAAGTCTATGTAGTAAACTGGAGAATCACTTGCTAAAACACCCTCTCCCCAACATGTGCACACACACAGACACAGACACACATCCACACATGCAGACACATACAGACACATTGACACAGACATACACACACAGACATGCACACACACACACACACACACAGACATACATACAAAGATACACACACACACACACACACACACACACACACACACACACACACACACAGTGCTTCTGAGATTTTTCCTACCCGGAGTCTATCTGAATCCACAGAGTTCAACTTAAGAGAAAGGCCACTTAGGAGTTTAACTTTTAAGCCACCAGAGTGTGTAGAAACCCCAGCCAGTTGGTTGTGTTTTGTTAATTTTATCTCTAGGGTAGGCAGACTCAATCGTCACTGTCTGGTGTGCAGAGAAGCTAAGGAGAGCATTTTAGGGGCAACAATAGACAAACACCTTAAACTCTTTGCAATTCAACTTTCCCATCTGTAAAGTGTGTGTGTGTGTGTGTGTGTGTGTGTGTGTGTGTGTGTGTGTGTGTGTGTGACCCCACTTGCTTCTGAGGCATGAGAGTTAAGGAAATGAATGGCTTTTGACTGCTAATTACTGTTATTTTCTCCAAAGAGGATTTGTCCGAGGAGCTAACAAAGCTTTCCGTTGAAGTCTCTTACCTTGCAGGCCCTCCTCTGTGGACCTGTTTTTACTACTGATAATTTTGTCCTCTGGATCTTAAAACAGGTCTCTAGATAGCATAGACTTCAGGCCCCTCGAACCTGGATCCACCCAGGGTTACATAGAAAAGGAAATAGTGGCTTGAGCAAACTGTTGCAGCCTTGCCTGACTCAAAGGTGAAGTTTCTAATCTATGGTACAGAGTGCTGGTGTGGGGATTCTCCTGAAAGCCGGTCCTTCTTTAAGATGGGAAATTATGATACCCTAGAACACCTGCCTCAGTCCTGGGCAGAAGCATGACCTATAATTCACTGCAGGGGAGTTCACAGAGTGCCCAGCACAGCCTGGGTTATTTGCTGAATGAAGAAGTATAAACTGAGTGCTGGCACCTTAGAGCTCATGGGTGGGAGAAGTCATTATGACCCAATGCGCACAGATGTAGTCAATGAAAATCTTGTGTGAAAAAATGAACCTGTGGTAGTGGTGGGGTTGGATTAGAAGCCTGCCATCATTTGGGGGGTTGTGGATCATGAGAGGGTACTCCACCCACACAGGAGGGCTGCCTTTCCTAAGTTTGGTTTCTATTTATGGCTGTGCACCTGACAACAACTGGTATATCTTCCATTTCTAGTTTCTACCATATCTTCTTTTTCTCAGCTTGCAAACAATGCCTATGTCAAAGAAGAACCCTAAACACAATCAGAATTTGGCTAGGGGGTGAATGGTGCCCCAGGCAGGGCTTTGGGCATGAAGGGGAGATGCTCAGGCCCAGATTCCACATGCTGTGTAGACTCCAATTACCCGAGGACTTAGAGATCAAACAGCCCAACTGTGCCGCACAATGAAGGAGGAGGTCTTAATTTTACCATGTGCTACACCCTTCCAGCCAGACTGTGAGAAACAATGCATTCCCTTTATGTCCTCCTGAGCACAGAACTTTCCTGAGATTGTCTTGTGTTATCCCAGCAACATCTCCCTAAATGTGGGCAGAGAGGAGACTTAAAGCATTTGAAAGGACTGTGATTTCCTCTGGCCTGGGGTGAGCATCATGGCAAGCAAAGACAGCTTTAGCAGAGTATCCCGTTCCTACTTGGCCTAGGATGGAGCAGGGTTTTAGTGTTATTTATTTTTAGTGTTAGATCTATATTTAAAGATGTCTTGTTGGTTTATGGAAAAATGAGTTTACATGAACTCAGCTGTGGCATGTACACATAGGACTCGATGTATAGCATATGAGAAAGCTTAGAAAATAGCATCGGCCAGACACTAGAATTTTGCGAGTTTTTGTTTTCTTTCCTCTTACAGTACAAACAAGA